GGTGTGTCTTCGAACGAAAAGATGAGGCGGCTGCTCTTGGCATGGGAAGAAGCAGAAGCCTTAGGCCATGTGTGGTCAAGGAACACCCGTGTTTCTTCTAAATCTAATCCAGCAGATGAGCCGTCTTGAGGGTGTCTCAAGCTGGCAAAAAAAGCGGCTGGAGAGCCACCAATGTCCATCCCCTGCAAACATGAGCTTGCTAGAAGAGTTTCTGCGACGAGAGCCTGCAAACGACACGCTCGCAGCATAGTGGCATAGTGGGGGCTCAATGTATGGGTAGAGGGTACAATCATTGAAAGTCCATATATCAACCCAGCTTCACTCTCATGTGTTTCGCTACGCGCACAGCTTGAGAAGGATTTCAGCCGCGATCGTTGGCTGCAGCCTGTTGGTTCAGATTTTCAAGCATTTGAACTGCAAGTATGCAAAAAACATTGTTTTTCACCATTTATGCATGAAAACGATGCTGTCCTAATTCTCAGGCTCACTGCCAAGCATAAGCCAGAGATGACAAGTTGCAGAAAAGCCATGGGAAAACACGTGTGACGCAGCTTTCGCCTCCAGGTTTTTAACAGCCTGTGACTTGTTTGGTACATGGTGTTTGTGGTTCCCCTCTCTCACGCTCCATCTCTGCCCATGTGTCTCTGGCGCTTGTTTGCTTGAGTCGCTCGCGTTGTCGGTTGATTGTTTCACCCGCCGCTTGGCGAATGTGTGCCTTTCCCTGCTGGCAACTCTCAGTTTTTGAAGCCCGCCTCTGCCACAGGTCGCGCGCCCTTGCCCTCTTACGTCACCTGCGCGCAAGCACGGTGAGTGTTTGACACATCAGATGTTGGTTGCCCCTGTTTTAAGTCAATTTACCCAGGCCCCTTGCCTTCGGTATTATATTTTCCCACTTCCACGTCGGGTAGCCGCGTATTTGGAGCGGTTTATGCTTATCCATTCACGGCGGTGGCTTGATGTTTTGGCCTTGAAAAAAATGTGGGTCGGTTTGCTTTTTGTTTTTTATTTTTCCGGGGTTGGGTACAAAGGGAAGCCAACAGGACACCCATCGTTTTTGGTTGAGTCACATTCTGTTTGATGCGCCAACTCCGCTCGCCTTCGGCTGAGCCTTCTGCGCGCCTGGCAAGCATGCGACACTTGAAGTCCATGGGGCAGGGAAAAGGTCAATCGCAGCATCAAACACGTGAGAACTAAGATCGGTTTTCTTGAAATGTGGCCAAACTCAAAAACCCGGAGGTTGGAACGACGCAAGCTTGGTTTGCGGGCCCAGCCTTGACGTGCGCTTTCCCATCCGCGTCTCTTTCCTGCAAGGACGATATGCGACACTTGAAGTTAGGCAAGCAGGACAAAACAACAACCGCAGCCTCGAAGGTTTGAGAACTACTGTTGGTCTCCCAAAGTGGCGCAGGTGGAGATGAGGAGAAACCGCGTGAAGTTGGCACGGTGTGTGCACGAACCGTACACTGAGCCCAGGCCTGGCTTTGGCAGCTTGCTTTTTGTTCTTGCGGCGCGCAGCATCTTGTTCCTTTGGCCGCACCCTCCCTCCTTGGAACCTGGTGGGACCCACACCCCCGTTTTCTTGTTGAAGGGGTTGAAGGGGCCGGCTGCAAGGGATCATAAGCTAGCCAAGCAAACACCGCTGCCCGCTGGCCAGCTGGGAGAGTAGGAATTGAGCGCTTCCCCTTGCGAGAATCTTGCCAAACACCGCCAAACTCCAAAATTGTCATGGGCAGTTTGTCTATTGCCAAGAACTGCCAGCAGCCACTCGTGAATAGTTACGGTCAGTCTAACTCCCACAAGCATGCCTCCAGTTGATGAGTGGCTTCGGGGGCGCCGACAGCAGCGCGGGCGCTCGAGCACGCATGGGAGGAGGCGCAAATCTGCAGACGAAAAGGTTAAGCCGTCAAGCTTGCTCGGCACACCAAAAAGGCGTTGGTCGAAAGATGTCTCTAGCGCGCGTCAAAGGTCACCTCGCACCATGCGCAGCGCGAGAGCACGAGCGGAAGGAACACTTGAGCCATCAGTTTGCTCGTCGCAGAAACAACAGCAGCGCTCCAGAACGCACAGAAGCCAGACACGCTAGAAAACCCCGCTTGCTTGGCTCCAGCACTGTAAGGGAACCCAAAACACAAAGTAAACACAGGTCTGCGTGAACCGGAAGCATGCACGGTATCCCGCGACGCGAGATACGGCGAGCGCGAGTCAATGGGAGAAGCGAGACATGTGGTGTGGGGTGGGGTGTGGGGTGGGGTGTGGGGCGGGGTGTGGGGCGAGGTGGGGTGGGGTGGGGTGAGTGGGGTGGGGAGTGGGGTGTGGGGGGCGGGGTGTGGGGGTGTGGTGTGGGGTGCGGGGTGTGGGGTGTGGGGTGTGGGGTGTGGGGTGTAGGGCGCGGGGTGTGGTGGTGTGGTGGTGTGGGGTGTGCTGGTGTGGGGTGTGGGGTGTGGGGTGTGGGGGGTGGGGGGTGGGGTGTGGAGTGTGGAGTGTGGAGTGTGGAGTGTGGAGTGCGGAGTGTGGAGTGGAGTGTGGAGTGTGGAGAGTGGAGTGTGGAGTGTGGAGTGTGGAGTGTGGAGTGTGGAGTGTGGAGTGTGGAGCGTGGAGCGTGGAGCGTGGAGTGTGGAGTGTGGAGTGTGGAGTGTGGAGTGTGGAGTGTGGAGTGTGGAGTGTGGAGTGTGGAGTGTGGAGTGGAGGGTGGGGTGGGGTGGCGTGGAGGGTGGGGTGGGGTGGCGCGGGGTGGGGTGGAGTGGGTGGAGTGGGTGGAGTGGAGTGGAGTCGGGTGGAGTGGAGTGGAGTGTGAGAGTGTGTGTGTGAGTGTGAGAGTGTGAGAGTGTGAGTGTGAGAGTGTGAGAGTGTGAGAGTGTGAGAGTGTGAGAGTGTGAGAGTGTGAGAGTGTGAGAGTGTGAGAGTGTGAGAGTGTGAGAGTGTGAGAGTGTGAGAGTGTGAGAGTGTGAGAGTGTGAGTGTGTGAGAGTGTGAGAGTGTGAGAGTGTGAGAGTGTGAGAGTGTGAGAGTGTGAGAGTGTGAGAGTGTGAGAGTGTGAGAGTGTGAGAGTGTGAGAGTGTGAGAGTGTGAGAGTGTGAGAGTGTGTGTGTGAGAGTGTGAGAGTGTGAAAGTGTGAGAGTGTGAGAGTGTGAGTGAGTGA